ACAATTCTAGCAAATTCTAAACTAACATTATTAGGACATTTTGAACAATGAGATGCTAAATGAGCACGTAAAATATTTGGCCTAGCATCTGTCCAAAACTTATTACAATATTTACATGTTCCTTCATAATGACCACGAGTAGAATGTTCTTTGCCTTGAATAAAATGTTCCCATACTTTAGAAAATTTTCTTCCTAAATTTTTTTTGGAACTTTTTATACTTTTTGATGATGTACTAGTACTATCATCTAAAATAATTGTAGATTGTTCCTCTTCCATTATTAAAAAAGTTAAAAAAAAATTTGGTTTGCATATTTGATTTTTTTTAAAAATTTATTTTAAAATTTTATCGTGAGAATCAAATTATTTATAAAATTTTATTAATATCAAAGCCATTAACTAAGCCTATCTAAGCCTATCTAAGCCTATCTAAGCCTATCTAAGCCTAATTAAGCCTAACTAAACTTAACAAAGCCTTATTAAAAAAAGCCACTGATTTTATTGATAAGCTAAATTTATATAAATAAAAAGTCTACTATAAATATCTAAAATTATGTCATTTTATTATAATATTACATCATTTATTACATCATTTATATAAATATTACATCATTCCTGTAATTTTAATTATTTACGATTCCTTGTAAAAATTGCAACTTATTGTTGTTAATTGCAACATATTATTTTTAATTGCAACAATTATTTATTGTTATAATACTATATTGCAACATATTGTTACAATATAATTTAAGTTACAATTAATCATATTAATTATAACTAATTGTTGTCTCCTGTAATAATTGCAACTAATTGTTGTCCCCTGTAATAATTGTAACTAATTGCAACATGCGGTTAATTAAGTTAATAATGTTATAACATTTAATTGATTTTTTATTTGTTACAACATAATAAAATAATTGCTGTTATCATCTTTAACTATAACTAACTATTAGTCAAAATCATTTCTTTTAACACTAATACCTTTTAGTAAATATTCAGCTAATTCAGTCATGTGATTCAGCAAAAATTTGGCTTAAGTTACAAAAATTGATAGTCATTATCAGTTAAATATAAAATTTCTACTCATCTAAATGCTGTTGAATATTTAGTCATAAATCTGATAAATCATAAATTTCATATTCGTTAACTTTTATTTTGTAATATAAATTTTTTATAATAAATCAAAACCTGATTAATATAATGCTGAATTATATACAATGTAACAAATAACAGTTAATTTATTATAATTTTCATGTTGAATTTTAAAGAATAACTGAAATTTTGTCATACTGAATCATCTAAATATTTGCCGAAAGGTCTTAGTATCAAAATAATGCTAAATTATATGTGATGTAATAAACGACAGTAGATTTGTTATAATTTTTTTACCAAATTTTAAACTTGAGCTGAATATTTGCCAAGTAGTATAACTAAATCAGCTGAATGTTTGCTGAAAGATCTTAGTACTAAAATAATGCTAAATTATATATAATGTAACAAATGACTATCGATTTTTGTAACTTAAGCCAAATTTTACTGAATCATATAATCGAATCAGCTGAATGTTAACTGAATAGTATTAATGCCAAATGAAATGATTTTAACTAGTGCTTGTATTATTATTATCTTCAATTTTTTGTTATTTAGAAGAATTACTTGAAATGGATACTGCCTTTCTTTTTGGTTATGAACTTTCAGCTCTGTCATTTATTAAATCAGCTAAAACTTTCCTATTTTTTGTTATTTCTATTATCTAAAAGTTGAATTAATTTATTATTTGATATTATTAATATTATCTAATATATTAAAATTAAAATATAAATTATCCTTCTGTGTAATTACTTTAGCTTTTCTTTTAATCTCTTCTTTATCACGTTTTAAATATGAAACTCCAAATATATTTTCAGTATTTATAATATTTAATGCTTTTTAGTCAACTTTTCGTCCTCTAATAATAATATTAAAATATTAATTAAAAGTACATAAATAATAAAATAAATAAAATTCTATTTAATATTATATTAAAAACCTGATTATTGCAATTAGCAGTTTAAATTGCTTACTATTTCGATTTGCTAAGACATGGACAGATTTAGCAGCATTTGTATTATTTGAACTACTTGCCTATATTTCAGGATTAATTTTTAATACATTTAAATTAAAGATGGTCCTCATAATGATTTTTAAATTTTAATTGAGTTACAACTTAATTGCATCATAAGAAAAATTAATTATGCCACAAGTTACAACTCAATTGTACCATTTTTTTAATTATGGTATCCATCTTTAATTTAAATGTAGTGATGTATAAACATATGGTTGGTGATAATAATGAATCCAATCTAAAAAATGAAGCAATAAAGAATATCTTTAATTTTAGAATAGTAAAAATAATAAATAATAAAACAATACCTTTAATTTTAGCTTCATTTGATTGTTCTAAAATTTCAAATGTCTATTTGATTTCGTCAATAAAAGATGTAATAGGAATATTTAAAATTAAATTAAGAATTGAAGAAAAATTATTTATATATATATTACTAAAAATATAAAAGCATTAAATTATAAAAATAAATAAAAATTTAACCATTTCAATTATAAAAATTTACCGTTTAAAATGAATAATGTATGATTGAAAAATGTGCAATAAGTGAGTTTCCCATTCCATATTGAAATTTATATTATGCAAATAAAGACCTAATCTATTTACCTGAGTAGCATCCAAATCTCTAATTATGCATCTAATATCTTCTCCATTTATATATTTAAATTTAACATGTTAAATTTTTAATTACGTTAAAAAAGATCTATAAATAGTTGCTGATATTCTTCTGCTATAATAACATTAATATAAATTCATGTATAGGATAGAACTATATATTACATTTATAATAAACTAAAAAAAAATAAATAAAGTTTATAAAATTAAATAAAAAAAATAAAATGACTTACTAAGTTTATGTTTGGAATTATATGAGTTAATTTTAAATTCATTTATATTACCTTTAACTCTTTTAAAAGTTAGGTCAATTTGAATAGATTCAATCTTATTAAATAATTCAGCTTGTTCCTTGAGCATACAAACAAAAATTACAAATTCATTAGGATAAATATTTAAAGAAAAATAGAAAAAATAATTTAATTTTAAAGATATAACACATAAAATAACTGGTAATTTTTGTATTACTTACTCATATTATGCATATAATTATGAAGTTTTAATTCTTAATTTGAATGTTATAAATAGTTTCCAAAACTTTCTGACTTAATGAATAAAGATTTTTATATATTTTGCAAGATATCTTAATCGATCAATATTATTGAGTGATATATGTATTTCTGTTAAGATTTCAACTCCAAAATTGACCTTTAATAAATTTTCTAACTTGTTAAATTATTTTAATTATTTTTTTTTAATTTTATAATAAATTATATTAAAGAAATTAATAAAAGGAAATAAATTTTAAATTCATACTAAAAGAAATAGATCAAGTATTACAGAATTGTCACATTCAATCACATTTTTAATTAAAGCTTAAAGATCATCTTTTATTCTGTTAGAAGTTCTTTCTAGTAATGATAAAGGATGATTATGAATGCTTTTACATAAAACAACAATACAAGAATATTTCTGTAAATCATGTAGAATAAAAAGAGTAAATTATATACTGCATATTTTTTTTTTGATATTTCCTCTAATAATATGACCATTAGCATCTACATGTATTTTTTCTAAAAATCATAATTATTAATTAAAATAAAATATTTGATAATTTATATTAATAATAGAATTTCTATTTATCACATAATTTCAATTTAGTTCTTTGGAAAAAAATTGTTATATAATGTTTAAATGAATCATGCTTTTCCTATTTTTAGAGAATTCATATTAATATAAAATTCAAATATGAAGATTATTATTATAATCCTTACCATTATTACATTACCATTAAATAAATCTCATAATAAAATAATATCAATTGTAGAAGGATCTACTTTAATATATCAATGATATTTATCATTTAACTTATATTTATCGCAGCCAATGACATACATAAAAATAGATGTTTGATGATTTTTAATATTAATTATTTTTGGTTTGCCTAAACAAAGGATTTCATTTTATTTAAACAGACATTTAGATTCCATACTTCCAAGATAAAGTCTAAAATAAATAATTAGTTAATTAGCGCAATGATAAACAAATGACTATTTAGTGTTAAATTTATTATACATACATAGATCTTTGATTTTTTTGCTTCAGCCTGTTCATTATTTTTAAGATTTTTCCAAAATCCTGAACCAAATTCAACTTCATTATGATTTTGATTAATTAATTCTGAATTTATATATTCACAATATTTTATTCACATACATGTTTGTTCTTCTTTTTTAACTTTAATATTGCCAAAGAATAGACAACATTTAATTGTGTTTTGGCTACCACCTCCTAAAGAGTATTGGATCTAGCAGAAAATTTTTTTTAATATTGTAATATGATTATACAATCAGCCAGATTTTAATCATAATCCATTTGATCATCCATTAAATTTTCCGGCTGATCAATTAAAAAAAATTTATAACATAATTTACTGTTAAAATAAATCAATATGTTAGCTTACATTTTTCAACAATCCCTTGGATTTGTCCAACCTGTGATATTATATGTTATCGCTACACCTTCCTCAGAAGTTTTGGGATATTCAATTGGTACAGTTGAATAATATACTTCCTTAACTTGTGTTTTTCTTGAAAAAAATGCAATTGTCTCTTCACTTTTGCTTAAATTAGTATCATCCTCACTTTTAACAGTATTATTATCACTATCAACTTGTTTATCCTTATAACCAAAATACCAAATTTTATTATTTTTTTTTCATTTTATTTTATTTAATATATGGGAGGATTGCTAGGAAAATGGAACTCTGAGCATTTTTTTTTTAAATTTTAATTTTTATTGCATTTTAATCTAACATTATCAAAAATTAAAATGCAATAAAAATTAAAAATTTAAAAAAAAATGCTCAGAGCCCCATTTTCCTAGCAAACCTCCCATATTATAAAAATTATTTTACTCACATTTGTATTAAAAGAAGCAGCAGCATCAATTTCATCAATATCTGAAAAGTCATCCATATTTTTTTAAGTTTTAGATTTATTTTATTGAAGAAATATTTGGAGCGAGACTATAGTGGTTTACAGCTTTTACGCGTCACAACCGTTATGTAAAATTACTAAAACAAGCTTATTGTATTACCAGCTACATATGTGATAGTGATATGTATGGTACGGTAAAATAAGTTACAAAAAAGTACTATCATACTATCTATATTTTATATCAGATATACTAAATTTGGGAATCATACTACATAAATTTACTATATACTCCAATTTTCGTACAAATTTTCGGGACATTCGTACGTTCGTACAATTTTCGTACAATTTTCGGGACATTCGTGACTTTCGTACAATTTTCGTATAATTTTCGTGACATTCGTACAATTTTCGTACAAATTTTCGTGACATTCGTACGTTCGTACAATTTTCGTACAATTTTCGTGACTTTCGTACAATTTTCGTACAATTTTCGTGACTTTCGTACAATTTTCGTATAATTTTCGTGACATTCGTACGTTCGTACAATTTTCGTACAATTTTCGTGACTTTCGTACAATTTTCGTACAATTTTCGTGACTTTCGTACAATTTTCGTATAATTTTCGTGACATTCGTACGTTCGTACAATTTTCGTACAATTTTCGTGACTTTCGTACAATTTTCGTACAATTTTC